AGCAGTGGTCGTGCAACTGCCAGGGAACAGCAGCCATAAAGGAGGTGCCCTGGGAGGTGAGGATAGTGATGGAGAACTAAGAATCTCTCAGTTCCCCTCTAGAGGAGAGGAATCAGGTTGGCCAATCCTCCACATTTCCCTCTTGTTCCCATCTCACCTGAGGAGACCTACAAAACACAGTGAGGGACTCCTGAGCCTTCCCTACCTCTGCTAGGGCAACCTCCAGCTCAGAGTGAGTTCAGACCAGATGCTGCCAACAACCTCTTCAGGTTGTCTAGAAAGGACATGCACAGGGGGACACACTTCACAGCAAGACTTACCATGCGGAGCACTGCTAGCCAAGCCCGTCCGGCAGTCTAAGGGCAAAGCTTGAAACGATGCTTGAGTGAGTTTGGAGCAACTTATTCCTTGGCAGACCGAGTCCCAGGAGACAACCGCATGAAGAGCAGCTCCTGAGAGTGTGGCACAAGATCTCTGGGGCTGGCATCCTCCTAATAACATCCCCGGTGCATTTCAGCAGTAAGTTGTTATTTCTGACCTGAGGAGAGGACACGTGAGGGGACAGACAGATCTCTGGAAATGCAGTGAGTGAATCTTCTTGCTGATGGCACTCACCTTTGATGTTGTCTTCTGGGTTTGAGGGGAACCCGTCCAAAAACTCCGGTCTGCTGCCAAGAGGATGTTTGAGACGAGCGTGGAGAGGTTGACCTCCGTGTCTGTGCCATGCTACTGTCCCACCATATCCTTGTGCACCTAGGGACAAGATCTCGTGGCTGCTTGGCAGCCCCACAGCAAGGTTGTGTATCCATTGCATGCTGCTGCTGAATGCAAATCCCACTTGACCAGGCCCAGAGAGACCTTGGCATGGACCCGAGGGTGCTTAGCAGTATAGACCCTCTCCATAGGTGCATCTCCATTCTCCACTCTCTCGATTTTGAAGACTACCTGAGGACTGAACAGTAGCCATCTTGTTGTTACATAATTAATGCATTGCAGATCTCCTCCCCTTCATACCATGCCATGCCCAGGAATTCCAAAAAGATCTGGGGGGTAGTGATTGAGGTTGACATTGGAG